AAGACCAAATTATGCATTTGAAATACAATGTGCTCTTTAAAAGTTTAGAGTTCAATGGCAAGGTAATTGTATTTTTGATAAAAATATACATGAAATCGTCTGTGCCAAGTGGCAAAGCCCCCTCAAGAAGGCAGTTATCTCACAAATTCTCATGAATTTGTTGATCTGATTCTTGAATATACCCCCTTTTGTCAGTTCTTTATCGCAAATCCAATACTTTCATTTAATAGACTTATAACTCAAGAACTAATGTTATTAGAGCCTCCACAACTATAAACCTTGAAGATAGGTAAGATGAACAAAATGCACTCAAAAGACTTGGAAATACAAGCACGAAAACGAATAGAATTCAATGGGTAATCATAATTTTAACAACCTGCACATCAAATTGTCTCCAGTGCAAACCTCCAAGGAGTTAAACCCTAAACTCAAAAGGTGTACTCAACAACTGACGATAATAGAGGCTCCACAACTATAAACAATAATATAGGTAGAATACAGACAGGATAAACAGAATGCACACCTCAAAAAAGAAAAGGAAAAGAAGAAGTAGGATCAACAGAACACACATAAAAGAAAGTAGTATTAAATTAGAAAGCTTCTGGTGGAGGACCAACTGAATTGACATTAGGAAGTTCAATTCATTATTATAACTATATTTCAAGTTTCACAAAAGATTTTGTATTGTTTCTTTCCTATTGCATGTATATTTTGTATAATACTAGAGTCTTGGTGTGCCCATTAAAATGCATTTTTTATTTGGACAGCTACTTTTTATGGAAAATGAGAACTTGAGTTGCTACCGAAGGTAGATTTCCAAGTCCGTTTGGGGTGGATTTCTTACGTGCTCTTATTTAGGCAGTGGATTCCTCTTGTTTATTTCACTTCTACAAAATAGTGAGAGTTGCAGGTGAAGAAATAACATGCTCATAAACACAGCTAAGATGAAGATGTTAAACCAGATGTTTGTACACACAAGAAAGGATTAGTCAAGAAATGAGTCCATCAGGTGAAGATGAAGATGGCAGCTATTAAGGATGAGGTCTACGATGGTGTAGCCATATGAAACATAAATCTATGAATACAATGGTAAGGAAGACATCAACTTAAAATGACATGAGCTGAGGTAATAAAAATTGATCTAGTATGACAACAGATTCCAAAACGAGCACCCACAACAGAATTAAATGAAGCAACTTCATGTAGCTCCCCAAGTGTGTGGTAAAGCGGAGTCAAATCAAGTTTGCTCGTGAAATTAAAAAATTTCACTCTTCTTCCTTGGCCCCCATTTTGAGAAATTTCCCAGTATAATGTTGCTTTTAAAGTTAGTTCATCCTAGCTATACGATGTGAACTACCAGTGAAAGGATTCTCATGGTATCAATTCACAGTGGAATAAAGTACTCAATGAGACAAGATTGCCCACTTATAATAACTAATCCTGATTTAAGAATTGCTTCGATGAGTAATATTGTCAAATGAATCCTACAAAAGAGCTTGATCTAACTCTGTACGAGGAATGGAGGAAAACCCCATTATGCTCAACGCTCATGGTGGAATTAGAAAACAAAGAAAGCTCACCCAAACATAATGGGGACATGCCGAAAATGGCAGCATAACACTTGATTGCATATAAATGATGATAGACATGTAAGCTACTTACAAAAGAAGTAGGAACTTACTTGTACAAGTAGGCAGCTATTCCGAGGATTATGATCAACAAAACAATATCAATACAGAAATTCCGACTAGATCTCAACTGGAATAGAATGGAAACTTGTGTCAGATTCAGAAAGAAGCCTAAATCTGGATGCATCTGAAAAGAATAAAAGCTTAAACTTTGTAAAGTTGAAAGTTCAATCACCTGGTTAACAGTGTCTTTAAGTCTAACATTGGTATTCTTAAGGTCAGCAGTTGCCTTGTCCACCTGTAAGGAAGCATAGAGAGCACTTCATATCAACTCTAAATTCCATATGAGTGGCACTGAAAATTAGAAGGATACAGCAATGCTTCTCGCCTTAGTGTCAATTTCATCCATCAAAGGAACTTGCCTGTCCAACTCCTGCACATATCACATAACACACTGAATTTAAATGCCATGGCTGATTACATAGTCACATACAAACAGCTTTTCTTACACATCCCACATTTCAAACATATTTTCCAGCACACGATAAGTACCTCATTCATGTCATGAGCCATATTCTTCAGAGTGTCCAAACCTTCTGAAATCATACTCAAACCTTGATCCTGGAGGAATGTGAAAGTTAACAACAAGGGAAACCATGGCCCCAATAGCTTGCTTCAATTACAGGATGAAAGACAAACAGAGTGCCACTTTATCAGTCTTGCCTGCTTCATTTTACGCATTTCATACTCCTGCCTGAATTGACTAGATGTCTCACTTTCTTGAAAGTATTCATTATCAAACTGCCCATCTATTACCCAAAGGAAATACATAATTAGAATACACTAATTATCCATGAACCATGAGCTAACAAGGAGAAAAATCAAACATCACTTTCTAAATATTGAAATAAGCTGCAAACGATACAAAGCTTCCCCACTCATAACAATCTTAAGAATCACGAGAGAAAAAAGAAGCAATATCAACAGTTCAACACGATTTCAACACCAGTGGACAAATCACCTGAATCAAATTTGATTTCGGTTCGTGGAGCCGAAGTCCCCCAACCTCCAGTTTGTTTGAGTGCAGCTGAACTTCCATCTGGTATAGCTTGAATCCTATCTGGCAATGCAAGGACCAAATCATTTCGTGCAGCAAGTTCTTCTGTAGAGAGCCCTTTAACCTGTCAATACACCAACCCTGACGCTGTCAATTCTATACTCTGAACCCTAAATACCAATTCATGATAGAAAATCGTGAAGATCAAAGAGAAATCCAAGTATATTAGCGAGTGATTTCACTTTCTGTAGCTAATTTCTCTACCAAGTCAGTCAAAAATCACTTAAAAGAGTTATCAAAAACTAACCTTCTTTATTGCTAATCTCTGCAACTTAGGGACTTCCTCAAGCAATCTAGCTTTAGTTCGACGAAGCTCTGCGTTTATTGCAACAGCAGAGGCCTTACTTTTCTCCTTGGACGCAAGCTCTGCTTTCTTTATAGATCAAACCACACAAATTAAATAATGCAAGCAGAAATACAGCTAACTGACCTTCCAATCAACAAAAACTAACACTCCAAGTCTATAAATGGACTTAACAGGAGTCTAAATCAACAAGCACACACTAATTTGAAACATGAAACAAATCCATTTGATTTCAAAGAGATCGAAGAGACCTGAAGAGCGGCTTCAATATCAGCATCGACGGCGGCGTAGAGGCGAGCGAAGGCGTCGTCGCCGGAGACATTGAGATCTCTTTGCTTCTCGACGTCGTATTTGTCGTATTTGTTGCAGATCGCGTCTACGCGAGTTAAAATGTCAATCACACTCATTTTTTATTATTTTTATAACTAATTATTAGCTGTTGTTCAAATTACTGAATGTTGGTGGCGGTTTGAACGAATGGAAGAGAGATGAGAAGAATTTTGAGTTGAATCGTTTGAACTTGAGGCTTTGGATAATAATTTAGCACGAAGCGGTTTCCCAGTTTCAGCTTTCTTTCAAATCTCCACCCGAAGGAACATCATCATCAATTTCCTTTTCATTGGTGGTAATAATAAGATATTTTGTAACTTGGGGGCTAGTTTAAACATAAGCTTCAAAATCGGGGACTAACATGCTTGCGGTTTTCTTCTTCTTCTTCTTTTTTTATTTTTTAAACCAAAGAAAAGGTAAAAAGGAGGGCAAACTTGGTGTAATTAGAGCCAGTTTGTCACTCGGCTGCGGCTAGTTTTTATTTAAAATGCGGTTACAGTTATTTAATTAAAAAATAAAAACATAATAATTATTGAATCCCATTTCTTTTTTGCATTGGAAAAGCAATATTTAAAAAGAAATAATTCATTATTTTTTTACATGGTTTATGTTAATTATATTATTCAATACAATTTTCTTACACTGTTTACTTGTATTTGCGGTTTATGTTAATTATATTATTCAATAAACGATTGCAATTTTCTTACACTGTTTACTTGTATTTGTATTATATATATATTTTAAAAAAAATATTAGTTTTTTAATATTTTTTATAAAAAAAACTAGTTTAAAGTAAATTTTATACATAATAATATTTTATCTAATTTTATTATATAATAAAAAATTATTGAAATTGTAGTTCTTATCAGATGTATATAATAGCAATAGTTAAATTTATAATATTTAAATTAAAAAACATCACTATATATATATATATATATTATTTTATAACCTTAATTTCAAAAGTATTTTTAACTAAATATATTAAATTATTTTTTTTCAATTTCAATTTTAACCACAATTTTCATCAAACACCTATTTTTTCAAACCCATTTTAATTAAAAATACTTTTTATAAAATAATTTTTTTTAATTCATACCTATAATAATTACTATAATACGAAATATACTCAAATTCTTCAAGGTTTTAACCGCTCGAACATCTATTTCTTTGCCTAGCAGTAGAAGGTAATTTTCTATGGAGTAGAATTAAACTTACAAAAACACAAATTATATTCATACTCTTATTTAAAATATAAATAAAAAGATATAAATAAAAAGAAGCATTGGATTACATGAAATTAAAAAAAACCGCACATCATGTATCCATGTCAATGATGTACCGTATATTTAAATAAAAAAATAAGGTTTAAGATGCGTTAACCATTTATTTAAAAAAAAAATAGTAATTTTTTATTAATCATAATTGTATAATGATATTAGTAATTAATATAATTATGAGATATTAGATATCAGAAATAAATATATTTTAATATAGTGCTCTTAAATTATATATTAAAAAAATCATTTCAACTGATCAATGCAATTTCAATTTCATTCTGAATTCAAAGCTGTTAACAGTTTTATTTCTTTAGCAAAGAAAAAAAGCGGTGACTTTGCGAAATTGTCTTCTCTTTCCTCCTTTTCGTTGTCCTATGTTTTTATTCCCTAGAATGTTCTTGCGTGGTGTAGAAAGACCTCGGAGCATTCGACCGACCCATCTTGCCTTACTTCTGAAGAATTCGACTCCATTCCATGAAGGCACTAAGGCGGCTACCTCCGCTTATAAAGACACAGCACCGCACCCTTGATCTTTCCCATTATCAGCGATCCTAGTACACATTCATTCGATCTGAAACCTGCTTTTCTTTTATTCTATCAAAATCTCAGATATTTTCTTAAATCCCTGCAAGCATGCAGATCTTCGTGAAAACCCTGACAGGCAAAACCATAACTCTTGAAGTCGAGAGTTCTGATACAATCGACAACGTCAAAGCCAAAATCCAAGACAAAGAAGGTATCCCTCCTGATCAGCAACGCCTGATTTTCGCTGGCAAACAACTCGAGGACGGCCGTACCCTTGCCGATTATAACATCCAAAAGGAATCCACCCTCCACCTTGTTCTGAGGCTTCGCGGCGGTATGCAAATCTTCGTCAAAACCCTAACCGGCAAAACCATAACTCTTGAAGTCGAGAGTTCCGATACTATTGACAACGTAAAGGCCAAGATTCAAGACAAAGAAGGTATCCCTCCGGATCAACAGAGGCTAATTTTTGCTGGGAAACAATTAGAGGATGGTAGGACCCTTGCGGATTATAATATCCAAAAGGATTCCACCCTTCACCTTGTCCTCAGGCTTCGCGGTGGCATGCAAATCTTCGTTAAGACTTTAACTGGAAAGACAATCACGCTTGAGGTTGAAAGCTCTGATACAATTGATAACGTTAAAGCCAAGATTCAGGACAAGGAAGGGATTCCCCCGGATCAGCAGAGGCTCATCTTTGCAGGGAAGCAGTTGGAAGAGGGGAGGACTCTTGCGGATTATAACATTCAAAAGGAGTCTACTCTGCATCTGGTACTGCGTTTGAGAGGCGGGATGCAGATCTTTGTCAAGACTCTCACAGGGAAGACCATCACTCTTGAAGTTGAGAGCTCTGATACGATAGACAACGTGAAAGCCAAGATACAGGATAAGGAAGGTATTCCACCGGACCAGCAGAGGCTTATCTTTGCTGGGAAGCAATTAGAGGATGGGAGGACTCTTGCGGATTACAATATTCAGAAGGAGTCTACTCTCCATCTCGTGCTCCGTCTTCGAGGTGGTGATTTCTAAGCAGAACTTAAATTCGGTGGTTGTATGTCTTCTTTTCTTTTTTATCAATAAAAAATTATTAATATTTTGTTCGCAATTATTCTTTGAAATTCGTCTTGTTAAATTTTATATATCTCAATACCTTTTAATTATATAAATTCGAAGCACCGATTAATTCTATCTAGCATAGGATCAGAAAAACATGTGAAAGGGTCCTGGATCTTAAATTGCCATTCAACAATTAACTAGCAACCCATTTCTTCTTGAATGTGGCTGAATGCTTTAAGAGCCAAGTGGGCATGATGTGGAGTCCAGTGTTCCTCTGCTCTGCTTTTGTTAGCGGCGTGCTCTGTTTCAGGATTCATAATATTCCAAGTTTGATCTTCTTTGGTGGCTTGGAATCGGGCTTGCATTTTTCACCTAACGAAGGTTCACTGCTCACAACTTCAAGGAAAAATACAAAAAATAGGAATTGCATAACCAAATCAACACAATAATGCCCAAACTCAAAATCTTTCTTTCATCCGCAGTTGTTTGTAAAACTAAAAGGATCTAAATAAATTAATTTTGCTGATTATGGATATTTGAACTAATAAATTGCAAATATAATAGACTAGATTTCTATGTATTGTTTATACCATATTTGAAGCTATAAATAGATTTTTGTTGCTATTCTAGTTGGGACAAAAATTAAACATTTCAACCTTTTTATATAAATTAGTAATTCATAATGTATTTGAAGTTTGATTAAAAGTTGTTGTACGAGGTTTGCTATTTATTTTTTTATCATTTGTGAATTTTTTACTCAACAAGGATATTTTTTTCTAAAAAAGAAAATAACTAATAGAATTTGGATTATTTTGGGAAAAATTACTATGTTAGCAACTTATGTTACTTTTTTTAAAAAAACATTTCTTGTTAGTAAGATTTTCTTATCATTCAAATAGACTAAAAGACGGTTTGGACTTATTTTATTAATACACAATTTTATATTAGCAAGTATAATTTTTTATTTAAATGTTAGTTAGAATTGAAATTTTATCAAATATTTCTTTGAATTTATTTTATTAATACACAATTTTATACTAATAAATATAATTTTATTTGAATATTAAATTGAGCTAAAATTTTATTAAAAGTTTTTCAAGTTTTTTATATTGGGTTATAATTTTAGGCTAATCTAACATTTGTCTGATTTCTAAAAAATAAATATAGAAAAACCTGATTTGTAAATACCCATTTTTATCTATGAAAGATGATTCAAGTCCAACTCGTATAAATTTTCTTAGGATGCTATGATTTAAGGTCAGATATATAAATACTTTACTTCCTTCCCCTTACTGACCGGAAATTATAATAAACGATGAAAGCAACCAATACACCCATCATATGTTTATGAATGGAAATTGATGGTTCTCGCAAAGCCATGCATTCTTTACAAGCTTGTCAAGGGACGGCGACTTTTCTTTGTGCTGCATTGACCGCCTATGCATTATTTTCTTCTGAACGTTTCCATTGCGTGCTGTGATGGAGAGAGAAATTTAGTTTAAGTGGGGAGAAAATATAATTGAGCTTTTATATATATATAATTAAAGTTTGAAAAAATAATTTTTAAAATAACCGTTAGACTCACTATCGATTATATTTGATAGGCTATACATAAATTATAATATAAAACACCTTTGAAATATCATAAAGTTAGAGAGCCCGATCAAAAGTCTTGTAGATATAACAAAACCCTCCATATTTGTAGACATGATTATTAGTTTGGTAGATGAACAATATTAAACTCACTATTTATTCCAAAATTATTTTTATGATTTTTTAAAGTTAACTAGTTCTTGAAAATACTAATTAAAGATATTAATTTCCCTTATAAAAGAGGACATAGGAAGAATCTTCAAATTTTTAAATAATAATACAATTATACTAATATATATATATATATATATAGACACACACATGCACACACACACAAACATAATACATATAGGAGCGAGCTAGGATTACTTGTTAGAAAGCCAAAACTAATATAATAAAATATAATATTTTTTTAATTTATTGTACATGAATATAAAAAAATTGCAAGAAAATTATTTTTTATTTGAGTGCAAAGTCTTATTTTAACAATCATCATCGCTAAAAAAAACTCATTCAGTAGTTGTTGTAGTTATTGTCAGAATAAAAAAAAAAAGTCAAATCAAACTATCAATAAATGGATAAATTATTGATTTTTCTGTTTCAACCAATCCTTTACATAAATTAACAATCGATAATATATTATTTAACTTTGGATAATTGAGTACATTAAGCTCATAATACTATAACTGAAATCTCAAATGAATTTTTTTTATCAGAAAAATCTTCAAGATAAAATTTGTGAATAAGTAAGCATATATCTTCAATACTAAATAATATATAATTATTTTGAGGATCTAAAGTTATTGTCAAGTTAAGAAGCTTGATCACTTACTCATTGAATCTATTATTTAGCTTTTGCAATTGTTGATCAATGATAAATGTAAATATATCAACTTAGTAGTGATACTCAACTATCATTGTTTTTTTTACGGTGAAATCATCCCATACTAGAAAAACAAGTATTTATATCAGAAACTTCAATATCTTGATGATTACAGAATGATGTCATTTCTTCTAAAAAAAGTTTCTCAACCATTATCTCTTAACTTCTGAATTAAATTTTTATGGTAGTCACCTAATGTATAACATTTAAGATATCTTGAGATTTTTGTTGCAAGGTTTGGAAAAGTACATTACTAATTCTCATAACATTCTTCGTTATATTTAAAATAAAAGCAAAATCAAATAACATTAGCAACTTAAATAAAAAAGCTGCATCACTATGTTAAGAATAAATATATCCATTTAAAGCAATGTTTTCAAGAACAAAGCAAGTTGCCTTATATATTGTTATCAAATTGCAAATTGATTTGAAGTGCAAACTCTATTTACTATCTCTAGTTCGTTGCAAACTACCTACTTAATTAACTTATTTACTTGTTTTAATCTCACCAATATCAACTAAATGTTCAATTATAACTACTTGAAAAGCCTGTAATTCATCATTACGCTTGCAAGAAGCACTAATCATGTTTACAATAAAAATCAAATTTTAAAAGAAAGTATGAACATCAGATATTTATTTAGTTGCACCAATAAGAGCTAATTATAATCGATAAGCTAAGCAATGTACATAATATATATTAGGGCAATCATTAATGAATAAAGTTTGCAAACCATTCCACTCTACATCCATGTTACTAGCACCATGATACCCTTGGCCTCTAATATTTTGAACATCAAGATTGTGATGAGATAAAATAAAGAAAATCTCTTTCTTAAAAGTTAAAGCAATTGTATCTTTGATATAAACTACATTCATATCATTCTCATATAAATTCATTTTTGTCAACAAACCTAATAACAAGAGTTATTTGCTCTCTTCTCGATTCATTCTAAGCTTTATCAACAATTCAACAAATTTTTGCATCACTAATCTCTTGATGAATTAAAGATGGTCATTTTTAGGACATGTAAAATTTCTTTTTGAATTTGATGTAAGGTGAATTTAGCATTTTGTGAAGTATTATTCAAAATAAAGCGCTTACTTGTTTATTATATTATACTAAAAGTTCTACCATTTCAAGAAAATTACCTTAATTTTTTTTATTTACGCCCTTTAAAAGCACATGCTTGAAATATGAGTCAACAAATAATATCTATTGAAGCTTTAATACACAATTGATCATTTAAAATTTCTTAAGTAGTTTGCCTCTTAACTATTTTCTCAAAATGACAACTAAATTTTTAAATTTTCCAAGTACTTGGTAGCAAATCTTTGAGCTGAATTTAGATCTTTTTCTATATGAGTAAAAAAAGCATATTGTTTCTCATCATTAACTTTTTTTCAAAAATTAAATCCTTTAACAATAAATATGTCTAATCCTGGCTTTCCAATGGCTTACTTGAAAATAGATAGCAAGGGAAACAAAATACAATATTTTTCTCTGAATATTTAAGTCATGGATAAGTGTTGAACCCATAACACTGAAATCAACAAGAATGTTTTTCATTAGTCAGTAGATATTCAGGTATCAAAGGTTGATATGGCCCCAAATTAATGAATGCCCTTTGAATTTCATCTTGATGATTAACCTAGTATTCCAAAATTTAAGGATGATTGCTTGGATCTTTACTTAAGTAAGCAATGTCGATTCTAGTAGGAAGCTACTAAATAATCAATGCAAGTTCTTCGTAAACTAAAGCACATAGGGGTTGCTCAACCATAACTTCAACATTACACATTGAAGTTGGTTTTTTAGGTTATTGGTTATCAATATTTTTCTTTTCTTTCTCAAAAAAAGAATCAATTCTTTTTATTTTGTTCATGGTTTAACCTAAAATTAAAATATCATAAATTTTATTATTTTCTATTTTAAAAATGAATACAAATGACGATGTGCAAAAGCTATATTCAGAACCAAAATTAAATTTTTACATGTAAACCACACTAACATATACAAGCAAAATTAATATATTAAAAAAAAAGAAACTAATATATAAAAGCAAATTTGATATGAAAATAGAATTATTAGTTTCTAAAAGAGAAAAACTTACATTAAATTAAAATTAGATATGTGCTCTTCAAAGAACTTAATTTGACTAGAAAAATGTGTTAATTGTCTTTTGAACCCGGAGATAGTAAGGCACATGTAAGAAAAAATTAGTAATTTTAGTGGATCTACTAAAAACAAAATATAAAAAAAATCTGAGCATAATAAAAGCAAATCCATAAAATATATCCAATTGACTAGGAAAAAAAATATTTACTTATAACAAGAATTCAAAAAACAATTGGTATTAGGAAAAAAAATATTTACTTATAAAAAGAATTCAAAAAACAATTGGTAAAACTAGTAGATCGAAAAAAAAAAAAAGCAAAAATGGTAAAATTAGAAAAAAAAAACTTATTAAATTCTTAACAAACATTCCAAAATAGAAAAATATAGATTTTAAGTTTGAGTCACTAATTACCTTATTTTGATAAAAGATGAATTAATTTTTGTAGCTCTGAACCTTTTTGTTTGGTTATTTATATTTATATTTACATTTATATTTATATTTTTAACCTTTTGTGTTTGGGTTTTAGAGAGAGAAGAGTACAAAAACAATTGAATTGAAAAGGTTGTTTAATTTTTTTTTCTAAAACATAAAATAAAATAAAAAGTTTTAAAGTCAAAGAATAGAAAATATCTGTTTGATTTTTGTATACAAGGATATAGTAATTTAGTACTAAAAGACCCATCTATTTAAAATAAAAACTATTTCACCTTCTCACACTTAAAGTAATAAAAAAAATTGAAATGTTTTGCAGGGCTAGACGTATGCTTGCCTACCCTTGATTTCGTCCAATATATATATTAATTCAAATAATTAAATTTATTGTGTATTTACATATATGTGATGTGATATCATCTTCGTCCTGATTCATCCTTTGATATCATAAAAATAATAGTTTTTTCTAAGTAGCAACTCTAGATTGATAACATGAACTAAACGCTAAAGTGTGAATAAAACAAAAGAAAGGAATCCAAGAAGACGAAGAAAAAGGACTTCATTAAGCCTCGTGAATGAATAGTGTAAGAGTGTAACTTGATCTGAAGAGCATAATGCTTTGCTTTATGGTGTGAGTTTTTTTTTTTTTAAGTTTTCGGTTAATTATTGTTCTTGAACTCACTGTAGAAGAACAAGTTTTTTAGAAAGTTTGAGCTGGCTGTTCTTAGCAAGAACTCCAATTTCCTTGGAACTGGAGAATTGAAGATGATCGTGGAAAGATGGTCAGCTGTTATTTGTTTTTCTGTTTTTCCCTAGCTGCAATTTTACAGAGGTTTATAGTATTTCTTCTTCTTCTTCCTCCACTTTAAAGGTAGGAAAATTTAGAATGGTGGGAAATTGGATTTTTGTATACAAAGGGTCGTTACGATATTTTTATTAAAAATTAGCTGATATTTTGAAGATTTCACAGTCAATGACGGTAAAGGGACTAGATTTATTGTTTCCCAAATTAGAGGGACTAACTTATTACTTCTTTAAAAACGCAGGGATTAAAAACTAAATTACTGCAAAGGTATAGACATCAGGCATACGCGGCTGCAGAAGTCTTGGCAATCTCCTGACAATTTATAGTGTTCTCCATCAACCTTGGAATATTAACAAAGTAGAAAAAAACAAAGTAGAATCTTGAAGCACCGATCATGGCTGCAGAAGATGCTTCAATTCGCACGCTTGAACACACACCAACATGGGCACTCGCCACAGTTTGTTTTGTTTTCATATCCGTTTCCTGTGTCCTGGAGCACATTTTTCATCTCCTCACAAATGTAAGTACATATTCCCAAGAATTTAATTATTTTGCCCAGGTATATATGTATCAAGCTAGCTAACATAAAAGGGTGATACAGTGGCTTAACAGAAGTCGAAGAACTGCTCTTGGCGAGGCAGTGAACAAGCTCAAATCAGGTGTAAAACATATATAGCTTCTCATTAATTGAATATGTTGTGCATCCACTTAATTAACTAATCATTTGGAGGTGTTTTTTACAGAGTTGATGTTGTTAGGATTCATGTCATTGATGCTGGCGGTGACCCAAAAACCTATTTCTAAAATCTGCATACCAGCCAATCTTGCGAACTCCATGCTTCCTTGTCGTAAAGAGGTTGCATCCACACTCACTGCAGTACAAAATTATGGAAATTTTGCCGGTAATTTTGTTGGGAGTTTGTCTTTAGAGAATGGTCTGCGTGTTAAGAATATTTTATGGGGACATAGGAGTTTGTTAGCAGATGATGACGGTGTAAATATTTCCGATGATCCTTGCAGTTCAAAAGTATGGCTCTGCAATTTCTTCTTTCTTCTCATATATTTGGTTAGTTCTATTCATACAATCTAATTATGATCAACAATTTCAGGGAAAGGTTTCTTTAATATCCGAAAAAGGGATCCAGCAGCTTCACAAATTCATTTTTGTGCTAGCAGTTATGCATATTGTATATGGTGTTCTAACCATGGCTCTGGGCTGGACCAAGGTACTTAAAACGCTCTCTTCACATCAGGTTTAATGTTTTTTCTGTAGAATGAATCTAATGCTCTTCTTGTTTACGATACAAAATTAATGTTTTTGTACCATTATGATCATAGATGAGGCGGTGGGAAGCTTGGGAGAAGGAAAGTCGGACAACTGAATACCAAGTTGCAAATGGTATGTGGTCATCATGCATAAGAACTCGTTTTCTTTTTTCTTTTTTCGATAATATCATGCATACGTAATGAGAGTGGAGTGAAATTAGAAATCGGAGAAGTTAATTCATTCTCCTTCTGAATTCTAAAACCCTCTCTCCTTACCAGTTATTTTAAAGAAAAACACTGCAAGTAATTGGTTCTTTGTATGCTCATGAAATTAATAAATACATCAGAATCACCACCACCATGAGATTTAAACGACTGAGAAGTGAAAAATCGACATGATCATCATAATAGATTAAAGAAAGGCTATAATTAGTTTAAGTTATTGATTCTTGATTTGGGAACATATCAATGGCAGTTCTTTCGTCTGCAGTCCACATACATCAGTAGACTTGAGAAAGACTTTTCAGGCCATGCTTGACCAAGACTGGTTCAAGTTGTGGTGCAAACTTTGCGGATTTTTTAAGCCGTTGAAGAAAAGAAACGGGATGACCTTACATGCATGAATTGCCACTTGGATGATATTTTATAGATACGAGGTGTCAGCATAAAAGAGAAAAGATGGCTGGACCTGTATGATGATGTTAGTTTCATTTATTATCACCAACAAGTTTGCAAGTGTGAACCGTTGAGTTTTGAAAAAACCACCTAAAAAAAATTGGGTAACCATTCATTAGCGTTTTAAAAATGTGGAATTCATTAAAAAAAATAAGGTAGAAATTTAATTTCAAAAAAAATATTTTACATCAGCTTTTCAAACGTTATAATCTTAATATTATCTTTCTCAGTAGTATCATACATTAAAAAAAATATAATCATTACAAAAAAAATCTTTTAAAATAATGTTCATTTTCTATTATAGAACTATTTATGGTGCTACACATATCTTTTAAAATTCTTCTCATTAGATCTGTTCCAAATACTTATTATTTAAAAAAAAATTATATTTCTATTAAAGAATTGTGAAATTCTAGTAAAATCCTATTTATCCCCTTCTATCATAACTCTCTCTTCTTCATATGCATTCTAATAACACATATTTATCTCTTTAAAATTCTCATTCAAACCCCACAATTGATCAATTTATCCTTTTTTTTTTAAAGCACCTTCATTTTTTCTCTCTCAATAACACAATACGACTCGTCATTTGTTATCACCCCAGATATCCAAACACAAACATAATAGATAGTCAATATGACTGTATTAATAATTTAATTTATAATATTTTAACTCAAAAACTATAAAATTAATGTATGTAATTTTTAGTTATTTTATTTTCAAAATTATTTTCAAACAAAGTTTTAATCAAACATTCTTAAATTATTATTTTTTATTTAATATTAATTTCAACTATAATTTTAACTAAATGCATATTTTATCAAATCAACCATAACTAAAATTATTTTTTTCAAACCATAACTATAAAAACTACTTATACACACCCAAATCAGTTAACCGAAATTCCCCAAATCAGTTAATCGAAATTCCAAAACCCAAACCACTTGTATTATTGTGCACCAGCTAGTTAATGAAAGATGATCATAAATGACCGTGTTATGCAATAATTAAAATATTTAAGATATTTTCTTTTTAGGTAAATACCTTTTATTTTATGATGATGATCATGTTTAAAACTTTAAATATTGCTGCTGCTGCTAATAATAATAACAAATACACACACTGTTAGAGAGTAAAATGTAGTATCAACCATCCGAATTCACAACAGATAAATGTTGTTTTGAATACTTCAAGAGATTAATATAATGGTCCTGTTTATTGATTAGATCCAAATCGATTTAGACTTACAAGACAAACAACATTCGGAAGACGGCACATAGAGACTTGGACAAAAATATCACCCCTCCTATGGATGGTGAGTCTACTTTTTATTATTCGTATGATGTTGTTGATGATGGCGGTGGCATGAGAACAAGTTAAGTATTAGTGATATTTGAATTTCAAGTTCTTCAATGACTGTATTTGGATGAACAGATAGGTTTCCTCAGACAGTTTTTTAATTCGGTAGCAAAAGTTGATTATCTCACCTTGAGACATGGTTTTATCTCGGTAATGATCTTCCAAATACTCCACTAATCTTCCTGCATTAAACTTTATATAACTGGTGTGTGTGTGTGTCATCATAAGTATACATGAGATGATCAAACCTGTCTTCACCATGCTCACTGATGTATGGTGATGTGTGCACTTTCAAGGCTCACTTGTCAACCAGGAACGTCAACCATTTCAATTTCCAAGAATACATACAGCGATCCTTAGACGACGATTTCAAGGCCGTTGTTAGCATTAGGTATTCTCACAAGCTAACAACTATCCTCATGGTTAACTTTTTTTCCTTTTCTTTTTCATTCCATATATATAGATCTCATTAAACACATACAGATCTATGCATTTATACATGCCTCTTTTTGGCAGTCCTTTAAAGTGGTTTTTGGTGGTAATTTTCTTGCTGCTGGACGTACATGGTAAATACGGTTTGCCGTTCATCCTCTGTATTCAAGCATAATTAAATTATTTATGCTTCATTTTCTTTGCAATTATCCTTATTTATGCTTCATTTTCTTTGCAATTATATATTTCTTCACATGCTATTTTTTTTTTTCTGGGACGTTCAGGTTGGAATGTATATCACTGGATTTCCTATGTTCCACTCGTGGTAATTAACTAAATTTATTCAAGCATTGTTACTGATTTTATTACAACGGAAATGGTATATACTGTAACTATCGGTAGCCATATCTGTGCTCTAAAAGGGAAAATATGAGTTTGACGTACACTTTTTCCTCTTCAAAATTTAACGAAAGCCTTGTCTTGTAATTCTTCTATATATCAAGTTTTACAATAGCCGACTTACTGATATTGTAGATTGTGCTGGTCGTGGGAGCCAAACTTGAGGTGATTGTTGCAAAAATGGCTTTCCGAATCGATGATCAAAACTGTGTGAGCAGAGGAACCCCTCTTGTTCAACCAAATGATAATCTCTTTTGGTTCGGTCAACCAAGATTTGTTCTTGTTCTTATCCATTTTGTTCTGTTTGTGGTAAATGTTCCTCCTCTCTATAAACTAGCTAGCTCGATCAAAAGGAAACAATAATAAGAAACTAATTTAGTAGTTCGTATCGATGCTTTCGGACATGTCGCTAATACTTGATACTTATCAACCTGTAGAATGCATTTGAGCTTGCCTTCTTCATTTGGGTTGCTGTAAGTGTTTTAATCTCTCTCTCGTATCTTTTTTCAACTCTCCTTCTTGTGATGTAATTTATTAATTTAGTTGAAAGAGTGCGTATAACAATTTTTTTTGCTAGAAAGAAAGTCTGACATTTTCCAATGTTTGATCTTTTTTCCAGATACAATTTGGGCTTGAATTATGTTACCATGAGAACACTGCATTTATTGTCGCACGGGTCGTGTTAGCGTAAGATTCTCTTTTGACATAATTTATAAGAAGTGATTTTTCATTTTCATTTTCATTTATAATTTATAATTACTTTCATCATTAATTTATAAGAAATTATTTAAATTAGAGATATTTTATTAAAAAATGGCTCTCAAACAATATATATATATATATATATATATATA